ATTACTTCATTTGAATTATTTTTGTGTTAATCTGATTATGAATGAGGTTCATTTATAAATCAATCTACATCGAAGCTTTCTATAACGAACCTTTTTTGTAATAAGCCCTGACACATAACGCACTGTAAATTTTAAATTATATATGTTGAGTTTGGAAAGTATATATTTTGTATATTCTATGATTCGATTTGATTGTATAATTTAATTCAAGTTTTACGATTCATTTGATCTGTTCGTGATTATTAAAAGGCAATATATTTTTTTTTAAAAAAGGGATTTATAAAAGCACGAAAAATTAATAAAAAAAAATTTTAAACCAATTTAAATATTCCGGAGAATTGTAAGGTTGAAATATCATACGACTGCGTTCTCGATTGTCCAGTATCAAATGTCAAGGTTAAAAAAATTATATCTATTATTATTATACCGTACAGTACATAATTTTCATTTAAAACATATTATCGTACCATACCATACAGTACAAGGTTTTAATCGTACCGTATCCTGATACAACCAAAATCCCGGCAAAATTCCAATACAGCCAATCAAGTTCTCAACACCACCAAGTTCCCGACACTAATAAGCTCCCGACAATACCAAGTTTCCAACCCTACAAGTTCTCTACACTACATGTTCCCGACACTACCAAGTTTGGATATTGGATGTACATTTCTTGCCAGATCACAATAGGTCAAACCTTTTACATAGCCGGTTAGGTTAGTTGAAATGATACTGATAATATAAAACTAACACAAATATACATTAACATCATTCTATCATTTATTTGATGAAACTTAAAATTGAAAATTGACAAAATGCCATGGTGGGAACAAGTATCTCTAATATAATAAAAAAGGGATATAATAATAATAATAATAATAAAATCGATACTTGTTTTTTGTCGTCAAACTGGGAAGGTTCGAATGATCGAATTGTCGTGTGCACGTGATGCACGTGACTCGTGTGCTGAACGATCGAAAGTAAGATATAAAAGGTTATGCAACAGTCGGTATCACAAGATAGTTTACCGAAGTAAGAGAATAAGTATGCATAACGATAAGAAATGATGTAAAAGTAAATTTAACAGCTTTTTCTTCGAATAAATAATAAAAGTATAATAAGGACACACTTACCCTTAATTTGGTGCCATCACATACTACCGATGATATCATCAGAACCTAAATAGCATCCACCCACTTCCTAAGGTCTGGTTATATTTTAAGACATTCGGTTCTACAATACTCTGATGTATGAATAATTAGTAGAATCAATCAGAAGTGGCGAGGAAATTTTAAACTCTAGTTATTGCAGTATTGCATATGAAGTATGCAATAACTACATATTCTTTAATATGATGTGATATTAATACAATGTAATAGTTATACACTAGGTATCCGGGTATAAGCGAAAATTTAATTTCCGCTTATACACATAGACTCCAGTGTATAACTGATTTATACTGATATAATGGTCAGGGTATAAAGAGCACAATAAGCGATTAAATGGCTAATCAATTAAACTATTACTATGAATTATAGTTACGTGAATAAACGGTTAGCAAAATTTTTTGTGATTCCAATCTCGAATCAGAAGTTGGCTTGACTCAAAAGTTGTTGTTAATAACGGATAAATAGGATAAATATATCATAAATCAACTACTTAACCTGTTTATCAGAAATATATTAGAGTACATTAATAACAGATAATTATTTTTATCTGACACGTCCTATGTGATCACTGAATGATTTCCGTGTAACTTATTCGGTCACTTCCTAATACAATATACAAATTCACTCGTCTCTTACGAGGTGAGTGAATATTTGCATATTTGTATTAGGAAGTGACCGAATAAGTTATACGGAAATCACTCAGTGCTTACGTCAGACATGTTGGATAACGAAGTTATCAGTCGAGTCTTTAATAGATGAATAATCAGTTATCATCTATGACACGACTAATAACTATTACTATATGATATAATATTTGATATATTTGGATCACTAATTTAATAAACTTCTATATATTTAAAGTGGTCCGAGTATATTAGATTACAACTAATATTGTGAAAAATATAAAAAAATACGATAGTATGAGCTTAAATTCTTTTGCTCATTTTGTATTCAATAATACTCATCCACTTTCGTTTTATTATTTATAATCACTATTCTTTCTTTCTATAATCATCATACGGTTCTTTTTAATAAAAATGCAAGAATCGGAAGAAACTTGTGAGGTTGTACGATCTCAAAAAGGAAAAGACAAATTAAATGTTCGTGGGTATCTAATGGTTAAAGAAAAAAATGTTGGGAATAAATATTATTGGTGCTGCGAATTTAGGAAGTCAAAAAAATGTAATGGCCGTGCAACAACACTTTTAATTAAAAACTTGCATTATCTGCAAGATATGTCTGAACATAAACACTTGCCTGATGCTAGCCGTGTAGAAGTAGTTAAAGCTATCACTGAAATTAAAAAACGTGCCTCTCAAAGTAAAGAAAAGCCCGTACAACTAATTCAAAATTATATGGCTACCCTTTCAGAAGATGTTAAACCCTTTTTGCCATCACACAATGCTCTTCGTAAAACAGTTGTTCGTTCCAGAAAAACTGTACAATTACCACAACCGCAACATGCTTTGGACTTTGATCTTCCACCCACACTTTGTAATACTTTAAATGGCGATCTTTTTTTAATCGAAGATCGCATAGACGGCCAAAGCAGAACTCTCATATTTTCTACCAACGAAAATATCAAGCGTTTATCCAAAGCCCCCTATTGGATTATGGATGGTACTTTCAAAACGGTGCCAACTATTTTTTATCAACTTTACACCATCCATGCGCCAGTTGGACCTGAAGAAAATTCTAGGATCCTTCCATTAGTATACGCCCTTATGACAAACAAATCTGAAGAATCTTATAGGTTAGTGTTGGGATTTAAATTTTTTACTACGTATAGCAATGCGTGATACTATTTATAGTTTAGACGTTCAAATAATTTGAGTAATATCACTAAACCTTAATCTATATTAATTAAAAATTCTAACCCTAAATATAGGCGATTCTTCAATGGCTTAATTACATTTGCTCAACAAATCGGTATTCAGTTAAATCCCAAATGGATAATTACCGACTTTGAAAGAGCAGCTATTAATGCATCCCGTTGCGAATTTCCTAACGTAGTAAACAAGGGATGTTTTTTTCACCTATGCCAAAGTGGATGGCGTAAGGTTCAGAAGTCTGGTTTAGTTACTAAATATGGAAGTGATTTTTTTTTTAGCCGCATGATTCGGCATTTATTTGCCCTGGCATTCCTGCCAGCGGACCAAATTCAAGATGCATTTGATACCCTAATGGTAAGTATGCCTCCAGAGGCAAGTAAAGTGACTCAATGGTTCGAAAAAACTTATATTGGGATACGGCAAGATGATACAATGGACTGCAACTTACCATTATTTCATCCACAACTATGGTCGGTTTATGAATCAGTAGAGCTGGGCATTCCACGGACGCAAAACTCCGTGGAAGCCTGGCACAATAGGTGGAATACTATAGTTGGAAGGCCAAATGTAAGTGTATATACGTTGATAGAGGAATTACAAAAGGAACAGCAGAATGTTGACGATCAAGTTGTGCGCATTCTCCAAGGAGAGTCGAGACCCAGGCCAAATCAATATTATATTGAAAAGGAGAAAAGAATCATGGCTATTTTTAATGACCATAAAAATCGGCCAGTTATGGAATATTTGCATTGTATGGCAGATATTCTTTCTTCATATCTTTCTTTATAGTCGAATTTTTCTTTTATATATAGTCATATTATTATTCTTCTTCTTCTTAATGTTTCTTCTTTTTTTATAATTTTTTCCCTATTATAAAGTCTTTTTTTCTTTTTGTTTTCATCTTCGCTATAGGTAATAAATTTAAT